TCATCTTGTGCACACTTTGGGCTAAATAGACAGGGACCTATAATTTAGCGTGGATTCCGAACCCCTCACAAATATCCATGCCACCGCCAGGACTCAAACTTGGAGCCTGGGATACCAAATGCCACAGCGCTAGCCACTTGGCCACCAGGCCGCTGTTTTCTTTTCTGAGCGTTGAACGATAACTGATAATTTATTGATACTTTTTTCTTTGTTTATTTAAAAATTACTGTTACGCGTTTTGTTCTTACATTAAATTCTAAATTTTATTTGTAATCAGTCGCTTAATTTTTATTTATTCTATTTTTGAGAAGCCTAAATGTTAACCACTTCATGATTTTGTTTAGCAGATTTTATTATGGCCTGAAACTTTTCCGAAATCCGATATACTTCCTGTTAAGAATTTTCTGGTATTTTTTACCCAGAGAAATACAAATTACGGAGCATTTATACTTGAAAATACTCACAGAAGGACTCACGTGACCTAAACTGACCATTAAGGGCAGCTTATGTCACGCGACATGACAGTTAGGTTAAGTTTAGACAGTCCTTGATTTTCAATAGTAAACGCACGCGATCTTCGCATTTGCAATGGTGAAAAAAAACCATCCTTAAAAATTACCTGTTAGAAGAAAGCAAATTATTTTAAGTATGTATTTATTTTCCTGTTTTTTTTACATTAATTATCTTTTAAATTTATTTGTTTTCCTATATATATATATTATAAAAAAAATAATTTACTATATTTATGTAAATAAAATCTTATTTTTTTATCGTTTTATCTTAACAGAAGCTCCTTTTATGATAAATCTTATTTTTATAATCCAATTATTTCATAAGGGTCTGGTGGCCGAGTGACTAGCGCTAGGGGCCACAGGTTGCAGTTCGAGTCCCAGCGATGCCATGGCTGTTTGTAGTGATTGGAATCCGCTTTAAATCATAGGTCCCAGTTTTTATATGACTGTAGAGCTTTGAACTTAGGGCTGACAACCCTACCCAGTGAAAAGAAATCATCTCCTTTCTCGAAATCTACCAGTGGGCAGACTATATATAACAATTTCAATATAAGTCCTTTTACCATCGTCATCGCTCAATATTAAAATCACCTGATATCTGAACATTAATGATGTTTTCTGTGCAGGAGGAATATACTTCTCAATAAAAATTATGGTTTTCATTGTACTTTATTGAATAATGTTACAGTTGAAACAAAAATTTGTCTGGCTTGAGTTTCGTTGCTCCCTTTTTATATCCATAAGATACTTCTTTAATATTTTTTTTTTGACTTTCCCACTAGCATTTGGGGTTAACAGCCTTTATGGGCCAGGTGCACCATTCCTCCAATGATTTGACATGCTGATTTGTTTTCAATTAAATTAAATTTAATGCCCAACCGTGGCTCAGTGGCGACGACGTGAGTACAGTACGGCGGAAGGTTCCATCCACTGGCGGCAGGGGTTGTCTGCCGCGCACTGCAGGGCATTGAGTATGAGTCACATAAAATTTAATTCCTTAACTTTAAACGTTACTTTTTTTTTATTCATATGCTAAGCTGTGTATCTATTTTTACACACACACACACATACACATATATATATATATATATATATATATATATATATATATTTGCATATATAATACACTGAAGTGACAAAAGTCATGGGATACCTCTTGATCAATATCGTGTCGGCCCTCCTTTCGCCCGGCGAAGTGCAGCAACTGGACGTGGCATGGACTCAACAAGTCGTTGGAAGTCTTCTGCAGGAATATTGAGCCATGCTGTCTCGATAGACGTCCATAATTGTGAAAGCGTTGATGGTGCAGGATTTTGGGCAAACAGACCTCTCGATGATGCCCCATAAATGCTCGATGGGATTCATGTCGGTGATCTAGGTGGCCAGATCATTCGTTGGAAAAGAATGTTCTTCAAACCAATCGCGAACAGTTGTGGCCCGGTGACATGGCGCATTGTCATCCATAAAATCCCATCGTTGTTTGGGTAGAAAGTCCAAATGGCTGCATGTGATCTCCAAGTAGCTGAACATAAGCATTTCCAGTCAATGTTCGGTCCAGTCGCCCCAGAGGGCCAAGTCCATGCCATGAAAAATAGCCCACACCATTACGGAGCCACCACCAGTTTGAACAGTGCCTTGCTGACAGTTTGGGTCCATGCCTTCGTGGGGTCGTTAGCCACACTCGAACCCTACCATCAGCTCTTACCAACTGAAATCGTGACTCATCGGACCAGGCCACGGTTTTCCATTCATCTAGGGACCAACCGATATGCTCACGTGTCCACGACAGTCGCTGCAAGCGATGTCGTTCTGTCAGTAAAGGCACTCAGTCGGTCTTCTGCTGGAATAGCCGCAAGAAAGCCAAATTTCTCCGCACAGTTCTAACAGACAAGTCCCTTTACGTCCCGACATCGATTTCTGCGGTTATTTGACGCAGTGTTGCTTGTCTGTTAGAATTTACGACTCTTTGCAGACGTCGCCGGTCTCGGTCGTTAAGTGCAGGCGGTCGACCACTGCGCTGTCCATGGTGGGATGTTATGCCTGAAATGTCATACTCAAACACTCTTGACACAGTGGATCTGGGAATGTTGAATTCCCTAACGATTTCCGAAATGGCATAACCCATGCGTCTAGCTCCAACTAACATTCCGCGTTCAAAGTCTGTTAATTCCGTCGTGCGGTCATCATCACGTCAAAACCTCTTCACATGAATAACTTGAACAGAAATGAAAGCTTCTGCGAAAGCACTGCGCATTTATACCTGTTCTACGCGATGCTACTGGCATCTGAAAATTTGCATATTGGCTATCCCATGACTTTTGTCACTTCAGTGTATACTGAAGAGCCAAAACATTATGACCACCCGTACATTTTGCAATGAACTCGCCTGGATGACGTGGAATGCACGTGATCAGGTGGAAGTGGTATTTAACTGGTATTAAGTGGTGGTATTAATCCATGCCAAGGCGGGTTGAAGCTGTGTTGCGCGCCAAAGGTGGGCCAACTCGTTACTGACAGGGGTCATAATGTTTTGGCTCTTGAGTGTATATGTTCTTCAAATAAATTTTAATTGCGGCTAAAATTCCTAATGTAATTGACACGAGCAAACAATCCTTTCTCATAGTATGAAAAAGATACTGTTAATTATCCCTATTATATATATATATATATATATATATATATATATATATATATATATATATATGCAGAACTATATTTACAAAGAAATGAAAATTAAAAACGTAAATGAGATTCACAAATGCAGTTCACTCCAAGGTCGATTCTACGACAAATCTAATGCACCCGGTTTACGATAGACCTTAATGATTTCACTGTGTAATACACACGAAACTACAAGGATTTTACTTTCTGAGCAGGCTGAACTTTCGGCCTGATCAGTCACTTCAGAGGGAAAAAAGAAAATCTACACTTTTTGTCGACGTCACAAAACACTCTTCCCCTCCTTCTCTAAAATCTTTCCTTTAAGTAAATCCGTCAGGAATGGGAGTCAGCTTCCCTCACTTCTCATTGGAGTGGACACTTCCTCATCTCAGGATCTATCAACAATCACGATGCAGTAAGTCATGGTGTAGTCCATATCCCATCTGTAATTGTTTCGACCCGAATCGCTAATTTCATGAGCTCTCATTATCCACGACATTGATTATCTGGTATCAGATTTGAGTGACAGGTTGTTCTCCCCAGTATAAAACACTAATTGCATGTAATGTAAATATCCACAGTACTGCTTATCTGCTGTCAAATTTGACTGGTAAGTTGTTATTATGTACTTGTTAAAGAATATAATTCCTTCCCTTGACGAAATGCTATAACTCTTCTCGTGGGAAAAAGTTACAGTATATATAAACGTTCTTCTTCAAATAAATTTTAATTACGGTTAAAATTCCAAATGTAACTGACACGTACAAACTCAACCTTTCTCATAGTAAGAAAAGGAAACTGTTAGCTATCTCCTAAACTTTAAAACTTCATTTTATAGAATAAACTAAAAATGTGTAATGCAGAAATACATCGAAAATTCCTGTATGTACTCACTGTATCTTAGCTAAAAATAGCGAACACAAAAAATAATAAACCGCGAAAATGATCAGACATCTATGACTCTTTCATGTCTTTATATATATACTTAAAAGGCATAAAATATAATAAAAAAATCAATAACGAATTGGATGCGGTATATTACATTAATATTTAATTAACTTATTTGATTAGCCGGTTTTTTTTCAGTTACTTGAAGCAAAATTTTTAAAAATCAAATTTTATATATATATATATTCATGCAAAAATGTTTGTTCTCAAATGTGTTGCAGTCAACATCATAAAGTAGTAATAAATGTTATGGCTTCTTTATGGCCAAAATAGGCTGGAGCAATTTGTTTGCATTTGGATTTGTTTAGCAATAGTCACATCTATTTTTGTTGAGCGCCATTTTGAACTGGAACATGAATTTTGAGAAATGAATATCGTAGAATTGAAAAAAAAAATTAAAGCTGTCTTATACTTAATCTGAATCCATTTTGTTTAAATTCAAAATGCCCTTTCGACAAAAGTGAAAGAATTCAACGAATGAGGTTTTTAATACATGAATCGAACTATCTTTCATTTATTTCAAAAATATAAGGAATTTTGCTTTGCACTTCATTAAAATGAAATATAAAAAGTAAATTAACAAAGGAATTGTACGTATTTTGTTTACCGAATCACTGACACATTTTTTTGTTATATTAGAAATATTTATTTATTTTCAAATTGGGAATGCTTCAAACTCATACATGATATTCAGGGGAGTGAACGGGATAATGAATTATATTTGATATGTTTTTACAAATATTTCGAAATTTATGACTTCGGATAAATTTAAAGTCCTGGAAGAATGCCAGTAAATTAAATGACTTTCCAAAAGCGTGGAAATCGCTCATAAATTCCGAACTCCACTGGTCATTCTTAATTTACATATTTTTTATGCCAACGGCCATACCATGCTGAATATACCGGTTCCTTCCCCATCACCGAAGTCAAGCATCATTGGGCGCGTGCAGCTACTGGAGTGGGTGACCACCTGGGAACACTGCACCGTTGGCATTGAGCAAGACTTTTCTGGGACCTGAATGGCCGAGTGTCTGGCGCTCTGGCGCTAGATGAACAAGTTTTGCAGCATGTTTTGTAGTTTTTCTCTGGCGGTGCCATTTTGTTTTTTTTTTTTCGTTGTCCTTTTTATTGCTGTAAGTCCGGTCTCATAATCTGACATTGAAATCAAAAAGTCAGATTTGTTATTTATTGTGTTAGCTCCATTTAACAAATGATTTTCCCCTTCAATCATGAAAAATGGAAATGTTTTCCAGTAAAATAGGATGAACTCAACAACAAATTCATATTCTTTCAACAAAATTAAACAAAAATAAACTCAACTGACCATTCTTGATGGATCCTATCTATGTGCGACATTTTCTTTGTTATTGCTTTCTTTTTAAAGCATCATAAATCAATGAAAATCTATCACCTTATCAACTTTGTCGACAAAAAAATTAAAAAAAAAAAATAAATAAAATTAATATTAGAAAGTTTTTTTATATGTGTCAAATATGTTGTTGTCACTTATGGTTTATTAGAACTCAAACCCTTCAAATTTGACCACATACCTTAGAAACAAAAAAAAACTATATAAATAAATCAAAATCACAAAGCGAAAAGACCAGACATTCTTAAATAAATTGACCAAAAGGCATTAAAAAGTTAAAAGTTCCAAATTTAAAAAGCCGTGTGATAGTACCATAATTAAAATTCCGTGTGATCAAGATATGCTTTCTCTGGTCCTCCAATAAAGAGTAAACAAATCACCATTTTATTGTAAGTTATGGAGACAAATATTATGGGATATATTTATTTTTCTTTTGTTTCCATCGTTCACAAAATATAAACTCATTATTAAATACTTTCTTGCTCAAATCGGAATCTTCAATATTTCCTGTATGATTCTGTTTCTAGTTCAAATTTGGAAATTCCATTTTAATTCAGAATAATCCGATCTTTTACCACATTCGCTATCCGGGGAACACTCACAGTCAGGGCCGAATTTAGAAGAAAGGAGGCCCTAGGCTGTTCCACTTAATGAGGTCTTAAGTTTGCTGTTTGCATATGCTCATGTGTGCAGAATGTCTCCTTATTTTCGATTCAGTGTTTACTGTTTTTATAGAGTAATTCTAATTTTGTTAATTTGAATGTAGGGCCCTACATTCACAGGGTGGAAGCCTAGTTAGCCTATAGGAAAATCCAGCTCACAGAATAATCCCTGTCTATGTTGTTCAGCCGTTGTCTCGATGTGTTGCCGGTTTTTTAAAAAATGTTAGATGAAAAGGGTGGCCCTAGGTCAGAACCAGGGTCGAATTTATGAAAAGTGGCCCTATTTCACCCTCCCATTTTTAAGTTTGTAAATTACATGAGAGATAATAAATTACACCTTACTGTGATATATATCAATATGTTAAATGAAACATGTTGTGATGGGTACTCATCTTTTTAAAAAATGTTGCACAAAAAAAAAAAAAAAAAAGTCGAGAACACTTATGTGGACATTTATACTGAGCAACCTATAGAGTACTTGTAACAATAACTCATTAAACATATCACACACCATTTACAAAGAAACAAAATTCAAATAATAAAAATCTTTGACTACGACAATAAAATATGCAATAAAAAATGATCCTATTTTCTCACAAATGAAATGAAATATATTCATTACATTGAAGATTAAAGCAAATTCAATTCAGATAAATTTATTTCATAATTTCTCCTTATTTTCGATTCAGTGTTTACTGTTTTTAGAATAGTGTCATTCTAATTTTGCTAACCATTTGAATGTAGGCCCCTCTTGATTTTTGAGGCCCTAGGCTGAAGCCTAGTTAGCCTATAGGAAAATCCGGCCCTGGTCAGAACTGCCACTTTTCTTGTTTCAACCCTATGGGACCACAAAGGAATGTAGTAAAGTATCGCCTACAAATACGGAGAAATTCCCTAGAAATTTCAATGAAAAAAAAAAGAGCGGGGTCTTTTTTGACCCCTGTTCGCGTGCTTAATGGTTTAACAAACGAGTAACGGGACACTTTTGAGACGATGTTTTATTTAACCCATTTCCTTTCATAATTCTTCATTTGAAGCATCTTTTTTTATCTTCCTTAATTTCTTTTTTTATTTCACTTGTATTTATACCGTGAGAGAACAATGCGAAGTTCATTATTTTGAAATTTATTCTCTTCACGGACGAAAGTTTCGGCGAACAATAGTCCAAGGTCACTTCCTCATATGGAACAGTTGTAAGAGCATCCTTCACATAAAAAGAACACGAAAAGCCTAATGCTTCTTTGCTCATATATCATTTATTGTCTGGACTTTTTTTTGTAATTAAAGATCTTTTTTAAAGGTCGTAACTTTTATTTATCTTCAGAAATTATCATTTTGAGATATTTTTATTATTAAACGAATATTATTGAGGATTTGTATTCGTTACCTACTAAATAGATCTCAATATCTGAGCGTGCCATATGTTTTGAATAATATTCCAATGCAAATTGAAGAAATCAATTAAAGATTCTTTAAATAATTCTGAATAATTATCATTGTAAACAATTATTGAAAACTTTAACATTAAATAATTCTGAACTACTATTTAAAGTTTTTAAATAAATTTTACAATTATGAAAAGTGGAGAAAAAGGTCTATTATCCTACAACGATCTTCAAAAGAATTGGTTAATTTTTTTCAGCTATCAATGAATGTAAATTTATTTTATTATTATTTTATTTTTTTGCCAAGGGACTAGATCTCGGTGTTCGGTACCACAGGTTACGGATTCAAGTCCCGGCAGTGCCGTAGATGTTTATAGCGGTTCGGAATCCACTTTAAACCATAGGTAACGGTTTAATATGACTATTGAGTGTTGGGCGTAAGGCTGATACCCTACCCGTAAAAAAAGGGGAAAAAAAACGTCTCCTGTTTCGAAATCAGCCAGTATGCAGACGGACTTGTCACATTATGGGGCTGTTGCGCCAATGAAGAAGAACAAGAAGAAGAAGCTTTCTTGTGTAATATTTTCCTGCCAAAATGATTCAAAAATTAAATATTCATTTTATGAATTTTTTTACAATTTTTATTCAATTTCATAGAAAATGATCAGAGTTGTAAAACAAAATATTATTTCTCGTATCTCTTCATTGCTAGTAAGTACATGGTTCAATAAATAAAAGAAGGATTCCAGGCATTTCTCGGAGTTTTCAGAGTCGCTTCGAAACATGTTGACGTTTTCTGTGTAAATGTGTTCAGGTAAAAGAGATCTAGTGGCGATGCAGCGACAACTGTAGTACGAAAAGGACAGGAGATGTTTGTCCCAATTTTCTGTTCCTTTAGAACAAGGGGTACGCAGACTATTTTATGACTACTGTATGGCAGGGATGCATTTCTGAGAGCAGAATCCATTTCTAGAAGATACAGCCAAGGAAGATAAAGTTCCATTTGCCCTAATCAACTGCAAAGGGGTTCTAAGAAGAGCTACACATCAGATTTTCTCTTGTAGTTGTCACTGGTAAGGTTTCAGTTTGTTGTTCTAATGCAGCTGGCAATACAGAGACAATTCAGCTTGATGCCATAAGCAAAGGCTGCACCGCTGTCATTCACTTAGCACTACCCAAGAGGCACGTGTAGTTTGAAGATAAGCCATGGACTCGAGCCACACTATTCCCGCAAAGCTCTACGATTCTATTAGACCGGGACCTACGGTTTAAAGTGGATTTCGAACCGCTACACACATCCATGGCACAGATGGGATTCGAACCCGAAACATGTGGTACCGAGCGCCAGAGTGCTAGCCACTCGGTCATCAGCTCCCGGTAAGATTGTCAGTCAGATCTACTGTATGAGAAAGCTTCAGGAAGGAGGCTTGACATCTGGTGGTGTATATACATCTCACACCACAAACCGCAATATAAGATTCAGTTGAGCAAAAACTCCTGTACTCAATGTAAACAAAGGAATATTTACATTCGTTACTGATGAATGCAGATTTGTTGTACAAAGGCGAGACAAGACGATTGCTTGGCTGCGTAATACGTTTAAATGCGCAAAGCTATTTGAATCAGCAGATATTTGTAAACAAATATTTTAGGCAGGAATGTCAAAAAAAGAAGTTGATGAAATGAATACCTTTTAACCTTCTCATTTTTCTGACATCGAATCAAATAGTTTGAAAGCTCATTTAATGAATATAATATTCCGCATCAAAATCTTTACTTCGTTATATTATTATTTTTTTAAATAAAATCAAAGCAATTCTGTTAAATTATTAACAATTTTCAAAAGTAAAGTAATAATAGTGCATGTTGTTGCGATTCATCCTCAGTGTCCAGCAGCGCGGACATTGAGACATCCCCTGAGTAAACTATTCATGGATGGAGGGTAAAGGGGGCAGCTTCTGTTGTGATGGAGCACCCGTAGGTAGAAGTCTCACTTGGCTCCGTGTCGCCGTAGAAGGAAGGAGGTGTATTTCGGGTGGACTTTTAAGGGGAACTACCACACATTTGCGTATCGTATGAGAAGAAACCCGGAAAACTCTCACCCGGTAATCCGACTCCACGAAGCAAGAGACTGAACATCCCAAACGTCAGCGAGTCTCCACGTGTTTAGAAGAAGTGTCTACAATAATACTGCCAGCGGATGGAACTTCCGCTCTAGTGCTCACCATCTACCACTCTATGTGCCCTGAATATGTGCCCATACATATGTGCCCTACCATGTCGGGCACATATGTTTTTCTTTCTAATGAAATTGACCCAAATCACGAGTCGGGCATTTCATAAAATATAAAATGACTAATTCTGGTCAATTTATAAGTTTATGTTAAATATTTTTCTCCTAATATTTCTCTAAATTCAACTATCTTTTGCATATAATACTAATACGCTTTAAGAATAAATTCTGCAAAGTCAAACTATTGCACACTACATTAATATGTTAGGAATGGTGCAAAAATCTATTCCAAATTCAAACAATTTGTCATCTAATCATCGCAACTATTAACTTATTGAGT